CCCCCCCCCCCACACACACACACACATATTTTATTAGACATTTGCAAAGACTAAAAATTTGTTTTGAACAAAATTAATGGAAACTAAAACCGTTTTCATTATTTTCATCAAACAAAAACAAATTTGTATGCTATTTCGGATTCGACCACCCACGCAAGGCGGGGTGCATGACATCACATGACGCCGCGCAAGCGGCGTGATGTGACGTCACGTCTGTTGGGGGGGGGGGCACAATTTTCTGTTCTTGCCTTGGGCGCAAAAGAAGCTAGCTACGGCTCTGATATAATACATCACTGCCGTTAATCTTATATTTGATGAAATCACATCACTGTGGGACTACATTCACATATCCTTCATGTATTGTACTGTAACTGTGGAACTTTTTTCCTAATAAAAAGCTGCATTTGTATGTTTTCAGGTATGTGAAAGAATCTGCACTACTTTTTGAACGATTATTAACAGATTTGGGATGGAAAGCTACATCAGAGCTGCAGTTCCAAGAGGTGAGGCTATACACAGGGTCTCATGGAGCTTACTGGACGGCTCATTCACCCTATATGAGGTGACTGGCATTTTTCAGCAACTGAACAATGCCAGTCACCGCAAGGCCACATCACAGGCAATTGTTTTTTGATGTGTGGGGACCTAAATGGAGGGCACAAATTGTACACTTCAAATAATAAAAAAAAAGAGTAACCTACGTGATGTGCTGAGACAGCGCATCACACAGCGCATCACACCCCCTGCTGTTGGAGTGGTCACAACCCATTAGCCCATCTGCACTGAGGCTGGTTTACTAAAAGGTGAATAATGATACACCGCGCTATTAATACAATCTAAAAATGCAAATGAATAATCCTAAATGAATTGTGCTAATAATAAATAGAAAAAAAATTGCACCAGAACATAAAAAATAAACAGTGTAACCAAGTAGTGTAAAAAAACAAAACTAATAGTCCATAATAATATAACAAGTCTCATAAATGTCCATATAGAAAGTGACAAAATCATCCACAGTGTTCGTGTAAAAAATAATAATAAAAAAAACAACGTGAGCAGTATAACTAAGAGGATAATAAGTGATCTTTATAAAATCATCACATCAAGTTTAATAAGAGATAAAAAGAAACACTTACAAGATGGCTATAGTGTATAAGCATTTAGCAAACAAACAAACAGTCGACCGTTTCTTAGGAGCGGAGTCGGAACTGATGACCTCCACTAGCACTTCCTGCAGGGGTAACCTGAACCTAATCCCCAAAAATTGATTTACTAAAATAGTTGAGAATGTTTACGCAGAAAATTGTGTGAAGATTCACTTCAAATATTCAATCATGGGAAAAGCACATGCTTGTTTACTTATTTCATCTACTCATGATTGGATAATTTAAGTAAATATTCACACTATTTATTCATTCTCTGTCATTTTTTTTCCCCTTGTCAGTTGTATCCTTGGTTGCCAGACAATGGCCTGATTCAGCAGAGGAATATACTGTACAGTAGAAGTAGAAGGACAAGCCCTGTTAACCTTAATAGGGAACAGCTCCAATCCTCTTGAAATGTTTTGTAGCATGTAGACATACATACAGAGGCTGGGGCTACTGCAGGTGCACTATGGTGGCTGTGAGCTTCCCTATATATGAGCTCTCAGGTGATCGACAACAGATGGAGTCATCTCTTACTTATTAACTCTAAAACAAGTTAAAGTGGACCTTTAACCCTTTCACTAAAAATCACATCAGCATGCAGCTCTGCATACTGATATATAAAATCATCTTACATTCATTTTTTTCATTTACTTACAAATATAGTTCATTCACTTCCTGGTGCACTTTGGCACAAATTATGTAATTGTGCCGAAAAAATTGCATCCTGGGAAGGTTACATCAGCAGAGCATTATTGGGAAATCTCTTCTCTAATCTCAGGAGATCTCAGGGAAAGGCATTTTCTTCCCCTGAGATGATGTGCATAGTCACATGTCCTAGTCACATGTTCTAGGAAGTAAAGGGAGATCTAGTAATCTGCCCTTTGTAAAAATGGCCACTGTCAAAAGACTGGGGAAGAAAAGAGAAAAAGGGTATGCAAAGAATACAAAGCCAGCAATTATCTATAAGTATCTGCTTGTAGATTGTCATTACTAAACATTTCTAAAGTTTTGTGTTTATTGTTATATTAAGATATGGGTGAATTTCCTCTTTAAAGTAAATATAAACCCTAACTGGATGACATTTAGCTTGCTAAAGCATCTTGCTCCACTGCTTGATGTGCAATAATGTTTAGGGCCAGCTTCCTGATAGTGACAACTATGAGCCTGTACAATGTGTGTGCTGAGCACGTGACAGGGTGACAAGATAGGAGCACAATTGGTAGACTGTTGTCACCCCATAACAGGAAGTTCCAAAACGAAGACCTCCACGTGGGAAATGTCCAGGTATTGTTTTAAGTAAAGCTGCAGGTTTATAAAGATTGAAGGCTTACATGACATTATAGTGAATGGACTTAGATCTGCTATAAAATAAAGTTAAAAAAAACAAAAACCCCACAAAATAAAAACTAAATAAATGGAAATGATGGAAAACATACCCCCTTCGCCATGTTGTTAAAGTAATCCAAAGTGTAGTTTCTATCTTTTAGGGCCCATGGCAGGTCTGCCCTTTAGAGAAAAAAAACATATAAAGGGTCATAGACCACAGAATGACTAAAGCCCATAATTAATTGTAGCAACTGAAGTGGGATCATATCATACTCTAGTTCCCATACTATAGACTCAGTGTATGCTTTACATAACAATAATGGACTTCAGTTACAGCAATCTGTTGAGAATATTTGTAGCTCTTTTGAAAGTATGGATCCTTATCCTTGTGTGTTCGCTTTGTGAATTGACTCTTATAAGTCTTTATTACATCCCACATTCAATATGAGATATGTAATATGCTGAAGAGCATATGGGCTGATATCCACACAGTAGGAGGCCCACATTCTGACAGCTCTTTTGTTATGTGGATGCAGGGGTGTATGTACTGCAAGGCAAACTAGGCATTTGCCTAGGGCGGCACTATCCAGAGGGGGCAGCAGAAAACACCACCCCAAACCAATTACGTGGACAGAGCCAGACTTGCCAGTGGAGCGAGGCTGGACGGCACAGAATCAGGCAGCGGCGACTGCCTAATGAGGCAAATTAGGCGGCCACAAGGCCCTAAGAGCGGTTGTCTAATTAGAGAGCTGCCTGGTGGAGGGCCCAGTGAGTTGTGGTCCAGCTGGCTTTGTACAGGAGGTGGAGGAGAAGCAGCGGGGTGGCTGGGGGCTGGCCATAGTATGTGATTTTGATGGTGGGATGTCCCAGAAGCAGGCTGGGGACTGCAATGTATTCTTTAGATGGTTCAGTTTAGCCATTTTTAAACACACACATTAGCTCTTCAGCATGGCTTGGCATGTACAATGATGCACTTCTTTGTATTTTGGGTTTCCAGATTCATTTGTAGCACTCCCACCCACTTGTGGTAGTGCATATGTCTGGCAATTGGCTATTCTTCAAGTCACCAAGCCATGTATAGTGAGATGGCATTGGAGGGTGCATGCTATACACTAAGGAAGTTATTCAGGAATTTTTCTAACACATGTTTACCTCTTGAAACAATTTTCTTTACTCTGACATCTTCAGAAGTTTAACTGTGTTTCGGTTTCATTTTTAAGATGCAACTTTTCATCACGACCACTGTGGATGAAAGTGTAAGGGAAGGTGAAGTACAGAGGTTAGAAAAAAGAAAGAAAGCTCGCCTAGAGTGGGTAAATATTGTGAATACGAAGATTATTGACTGGTTACAGAAGAACATACTGGATTCGGACTTATGAGAACTCTGATTTACATCGCAGTGTATGGGATTTTATAGCCTTTTTCTAAAGAATATTCTCGTGTTTAAAGTTGCCAACTATTTTTCATCTAGACTGCTGAATTCGTATGATATATATTTTTTTACAACTTGTAAGAATGTGATTAAATATGTGCTGATTTACAGTTTTCTACATTGTATCTTTGCAAATGAAAATAATAATTTATTAATTAAAGATCAGTTTTGGATCACATTAATTGTATCATACAAAAATGGCATACTGGGATAGTTACAAACTTTGCAGCCACTCATTCAAGAATTGCAACTGGCGCAGTTGAGTCCCTGCCCAGGCTGCAAAAATGTTTCCTCCTTCAGTATTGAGTCATGATGTTGTGTTTTTGAGAATCAGCAAAGGGGTCCTGCAGTTATTAAATAGACACTCTCTCTTTGCCCAATGAGGGCAAAGTAACAGTATCTGCAGATAGCCCACTCCCCCAGGCTTTTATACATACAAAGTCATGCTTCCCCCACCCAAGGCCTTCACGCTACATCATCCGAGCCTGCTTAAGCTCCAGTGTCGGCTTGATATTACGACCCCCACATGTGACAGTGTTTGGGGCCTGGTGATTGGCCACATAGGCCAGTGCACTGTAAAGAGAAATGATGAGCATAAAATGGAGACCTGAATATTCTAAGGATGCGCATAGGTTTTAGAGAACATTCACCCAATAGAGCCAATTATCAAGTGTTAATGCATGAGTTTACAGGCTGTCCAGAGCTACTTAATGATTCAGCTTTAAAGAAAAATTAAGACAGTGGACCAGCTTTATTGTTGGAGTACTTCTTTTAGATATCATTGATCTGCAAACTTTTGCAGTGGCAGCATTTTCTGTTGTGGAGACCAGTGACCTTAGCAGCTTATCATGCCCTGGGTCTGCTCAATGTTCCCTCTCTGGCTCTGCACCAATGCCCTGTAGGATGCCCTACTGAGTCCTCCTCGTTGCGTTGGAAGGATAAGGGTGCTGCGAGATCAGCAAGGGATTTTTACAGACAGAATAGAGGTAATTAAAAAGAACAAAACACATGGGGGCTGTGCAAGGGTGGTGGGACATTCTCATAAAAAATGTAACCACGAGATGAGCTTTAATTTAACAGTTACAGAAACAGCAAAGAGCAGAGTTTCAAGCAGGTTTAGCAAAAGGACTGGCCTTGTGAATAAAGCTATCTGCTGTTTTTTTTTTGTATTCTGACAGCTGCTGCCATCAGAATAAAAGAAAAAACAATATATAGCATAGGAATGAATAGCTAGATTGCTATTGGCTATTTCAATTTGCAATAGCCAATAGCAAGCTGGCTATTGTACCCGCCCTCTGCTGCTGTCAGTCAGCAGAGGAGGACCTGATGGAGAACTTCAGGTCCACCTCTGCTGATTGACAGCAGCAGTGGGCGGGTGCGAAAGCCAGCATGCTATTGGCTATTGCAAATTGAAATAGCCAATAGCAATCTAGCTATTCATTCCTATGCTGCTTTTTGTTTTTCTTTCTGACTGATGTCGGCCCAGATGTCAGAAGAAAAAAACAGATAGTAGGGAAAGGTTTACTCTGCTACATATATAGCAGAGTAAACCTTTCCGGGAGAAAATGTTTCTCTCCTGGGGGTCCGGGAGCCGCTATCTAATAGCGGGAGAGTTGAGATGTCTGTACATCTTGCAGGCATGGCCCACTGTTGTCACCATCAGGAAACCTGCCCCTTACCTTTGAACTGAAAAAGGGACACAATGCCAATGAGGACATGCGTTGTGCTCAATGTGTGGTGGTGAAAAGAGGGTGTGGCTACATTGTGCTGAATAAATAGAGTCAGCGCCTCCAAGCTGTATACATTGCACACATATGCTGCTGTCCCTGTACCCATACCGTACACCTTAATTACTCTGCCAAAACATTTGTGTTAGTGCTTTGCCCCCCCTCCAAAACTTTAGTGTCAATGCTTTGCTCCTCCTCCTTCTGGGTTGTTGAGCTAGTTCACAGAATAACTTTATAGGGGCAGGGAGCTAAAGCCCCCAACTTCCCCACCGGCTCCACAAATTGCATAGGTTCTATTCTTTTGTTCTAGGCTTAAGCTATGGTCCTTACTTCCACTTGCAAGGGAGGCCTCCACTGCTTCTGTGGTTCTGCGTTTGTTCACTGTGAGGGTCATGACCCACACTTGAGGCCCATGAGACATGGGGACCCTAGTGGTGCGGCCATAGTCCTGAAGGAACCTAACTGGCCCCCTCCAGTGACTGAAACAACATCCCTAAACTAACACACATTCCTACGTAGGAACCGGCTGCTGCACTGAGTTCTCCAAGTATAGGCCATCCACCAATGATCAGAAGAATGATGAGACTCAGTCCATAATCCTGCTTGAACTTAACTCCTCTTTACCGATGATAGGATTAAGCACATTACAGTGCCATTGTCACAAACCGTTAATGTCCAGATTTATGTCCACATGAGGAAGTGTTTTCTTAACAGACTGTCCAGCTGACCTCTTTGGGAAGAAACAGCAGCATCCCCCCTTAAAGAACTCCGGGCAAAACTTTGATCTCAGCGCACTGCAAAGATGAACTGCTCATTTTTGTCTAGGTGTGCAACAAAATTATAAAGTTATACTCACCTGAACAGCGACCTGAAAGGACATTCCAATGCAGCAGCGTAGAAGGAAACAGGCTTCAGAGACACAGTTAACCCTTGCAGTTTTGCCCAGAGTTCTTTTTTGAAAGTGTATTTCCACTTTTGCCGTCAAATTTGATAATATCCCTCTATATGTTTATGTGTTCCCATTCACATAGAATGGAAAAAAAAAAAATATATATATATATATTTCTTTTGTCTGCAGAACCCAGTCCCGGTCTGCTGGGCCTTAGGATTATGCCAAGCACTGAACTGGGTCTTAGTGGATGGGGAGAAGGACAAGAAGTGGGGGGCCTTGAACACTTTCTGTGTGGCATTTGTGGCTGTCTATAGATGTCTATGGTCCAGAGTGGTCAAGTTGTGGGGAAAATGCTGCCCCAAAATAAAACACTGCACTTCTGCCATCCAGGGTGAAAGTTTACTTAGTAAGTAAATAAAGTGAAAAATGTTTATCTTTTAAATACCCAATTATGTGCAGGGGAGTTAACAACATGTTTTTGCCATGCTATTGACTGGATGATTGAAGTGAAGACATCTTCACCTTATTCACTTTTTTTACTACGGCCGGCCCGGAGGTAGTTAAAGTGACATTAAACCCTCAGATTTTTTTACATAAAACAATGCTGTAATGTTTGCTTTACTGTAATCCATGGTTGTTTCCCTTCTCTTTGCCGCTCTTCCTTTTTAATCTGTATCTGTTGTCATGCTCTGCAGAACTTCTGTTTTGCAGCAGACTGCCTTGTCTCAGGAATGGATACACGGTGGCTGTGTATACGTTAGTATAGGCTTGTAATCTGAGCCAGCACTACAGGAAGAGGCCCTGAGATGAAAAGGGAAGTTCTCCCCTAGCATGAGAAGACATGAGGATTTAAAAGGAAGAGCAGCAAAGAGAAAGGAAACAACCATGGATTACAGTAAAGCACACATTACAGTATTGGTTTATGTTAAAAAATCTGAGGGTTTAATGTCACTTTAAGTAAACATTCTCTACTCCTATAGTGAATCAAGGAATCAATCAATATTGCCTCTTTTTGCTTCAATGATACAGCAGAAGTTTTTTTGTAGGTCTGCTGCTTTGCTTGGCCATACACCAGTATAATTTCCTTCAAAATATTCTAATAGTTAATGGGGTCAAATAAACATTTATTTTTGACCATAGTAATGAAAAAAAATCGAAGGAGCAGCATGAAAAAAGTTTCTTGAAGGAACGAAATTCTACCAGTGATTGTGTTTGATTTTATTACCTGGTAAAATGTGGATGCACACATACCTTTGTGCCCGTTATCTAAACAGAAGGCATGAAAGCAACCTTATTTGGATGTTCAATATACTCCACAATCTATGATCATGTAGCTGCACAATGTAAGAATGTTGTGTGATTTAACCTGATTTTCTATTGGTTGGTTTAGTTCATTAGGCCCACGAGCAATTGGTGGACATTTATCAATATTTTTAATGGTGTATTGCATCTACCACTATTCATACGCATCTCAAAATACTGTCGCAACAGCCGAAGACAGCGCACATAAAGGATGATCAGGGAAGGCTGGTTACAAGGGATATGGAGTAAGAATAGGTATTGAACACTGTTAGAAGTAAAGGTTTAGTGTAGTGTATAGGTAGTAGTGTTCTACTAACAATGGACTGGAGGAGCCCAGTGGCTGACAGATAGCGTGGTGAGAAAGAGGCTAAAAAAAACTAAACACTCATAAATAACCAGGACCAGATAGGCTTACATCCACAAGTCCTCAAAGAACTTAGTCAGGTTATACCCAGACCACTGTTCCTAATTTTTAAGGACACTTTTATGACTGGAATCAGTCAAGATGTAGTTCCAGCAGGCAACTACAGGTCAGTCAGCCTTACATCAGTAGTATGCAAAGTATTTGAGGGAATGGTAAAGAACTATATTCAAACATTTGATTATGGTATCATGAGTAACAACCAGCATGGATTTATGAAGGACCGTTCTTGTCAGCAGTGGTGTCACAAGGGAGTGTGGAAGGTGCTACCCGCACTGAGTGACACCATCAGAGGGGGTAACATCAAAATGACTGACAGTGATGAGTTTCAATCTAGAAAAATGTAAAGTCATGTACTTGGAAGCTAAGAACATGCATGCAAAATATTTTTTGGGAGGTGCTCTGCTGGGGAAATCATAAGAGGTCTTATAGACCACAGACTCAGCAATAGTGTGCAATGCCAAGCTGCAGTTAACAAAGTAGAATATTATCTTGTATTAAAAGAGGGATTTTTTTTCAAGTACAGAAATATAATTTTGACGAAGGCACAAGGTTGGTTGAGATGTGGTATAATCTCAGACTGCGCAGGGTTTTTTTTTTACTGTCAGAGCAGTAAAAATGTGGCATTCCCTTCCGCAGTTAACTGTTTGAGCAGAAAAAAACACTTGGATGAGTTTCTCAGTTTACAGAATATACAGCGATATGCAAATTGTTAGAGATATGTACACACACATGTACAGGTTGAACTAGATGGATCTGTCTT